TCTTTTGAACGTTACCTCTCGGAGACAACTCAAAATTTGCTCGTCTCTCAGTTCGCGATGTTTGATATACTCCTCGATTTTGGCTTTCGGGTCAGTAACCAGGGGACCGTGCCCGGGGCAAATGACCTGAAATCGCCATTTTCTGAAAACTTAAAAAAACCCACAACCTTGCAAAGTTGGCTCCTTCAAAAAAGTAATAGAATTGTGTAAATAACGGGTAAATGGTAAATGATCTCCCTACTTTGCATTCAAGCGGGAGCAGTTTTTTCAGTGACTTCATATAATCGCCGAGATCCTCAAATACCGTCGAACCTTCGCCTAGAATTAAAATATTGATTTTTTGAGAACCAGTCGGTAAAATAGGATTACTGTTTGCAAATTGCCAGTTATCTCACCCAGTATGCAATCACCACAGAACAGCATACTTTCTTCTTCATAGAGTATTGATATATGATCTGATGTGTGTCCTCTAGAACAGTTTATTTAGGCATTTAGGTACATTTTCTGATTTTATTGCTTCATTTACTATTCTACTGTAGCAACAGTCTGTTTCCATATTTGCTTTAGCACTTAACTATTGACTACTGCTTTGATTACTAGAACGAGCGTTGTCTCCTCGTTTCCACCGGTTATCTGCTTCCAAATGATAGCAAGGAGTAAAGGAGTATGCCACTGTCACGTCAACTGGCCGCTCAACGCGAGCGGTAAAGCCCACTGACGTGAGGAGACTGGCGCGTTATTTGGTCGCGCGGCATCGCGCGTGACGAGCGGCAAGTTTGCATGATACGTGACATAAAACTTGATGATCACACCCGAATACAGGCTATATATTAGAGATATTGACGGCGATCAAGAAAGCCATCACGAGAAGTCAGTAGTGAATACAAAAAGCGTGAGGGTTGAGATCAAGGACCATCCCAGAACTTGCATGGACTTTGCATAGATCGTGAAGGTCCAACTCACCTGCATTTTCTAGCTGCCGCGACAGCCAGAAAATTCAGGTGAAGTTGGCTTTGTTGAAGGAGTCCATATTATGACGAAGCCGACGAAAGAAGCTTTGCAAGTGGGGTTACGTGCACAAAATTCGCATCGACCCGCCAATTCATTTAACCATGGAAATGTTGCAAGATGTCCAGTCAACTGCTAAAGTATTAGGTTGTTCGAAAAGTCCTGCGACACTTTGACCAAATTTTTCGAACTAAATTTCTGGTCAGTAAAGACACATCTCCAATCTACAAGGTAACCGCAGTTGATGACTAGACTAGTGCCTTTCTTTTGCACAGCTTCTCATTTCCATTCTCATAGAACTACGGCAACTGTGGTAAAAAGAAGAGGTGGACCTCATTCTCGAGTTGAGGTTGATTTTCGGAACTTTTGCTTTGTGAAGGATGCGATAGTGACCAAAGGAGGTGGTAATTAGAGGCTGCTAACTTTGTTAAATAACCTGAGTACGGTCGCATTCTCTGATCGAAATGCATGATCTTTTGGCGTAGCCTGATCCCCACAGCGGTCCTCGCATTACCGAGTAGTAGAGAAAAATTGAGTATTTCTGAATGAATTCAAGCGTGACGTCATCCATATTTTGAAGTCGATTAAGGTGGACTGGTCCTTACAACGGTGCTGGTATCCAGTGATACCGCTTGGAAGTCCCACCAATAACACACTGAAATCTTTATCCCATGCACATCTTCCTTGGCTAAGCAAATGCTACTTTTCAGGGGGGGTTGTTGAGAGATACTGCAAGGGACATGTGCATGATGAAGGACTTAATCCACTCTCTACGACCCCAAAATCTACAAAGCTCTTTACGCTGCGTACAAGGAAAAGAAAACCCAGTCACGGTCATTCGGTATGACTTGTCAGACGGGTCCAACTCATGAGGCATCCTTCACAAAAATTTTTCCGATAACCGAGATTGCGGAGAAGCATGGCAGTTGTCAGTCAGATGGAGCCTAGAGAGGTCGCCAACTTACCGGTGGTTACGTTCGGCTGCGCCTCAAGAAGCTTGAGTAAAGGGCCGTCATTCTTGCTGATGGGCGACGACCGGCGACCTATACATTGCCCAACTACGAGTTAAATAAGTCCAGCTTAGAAGCGCTGATGCAAAAGCTACCCTCTGCCATGGCAAGCGATATCCTTCCTCAAGACAACGTAGGTGTCAGCTTCCTTGACTACGGCGAAGTGGCCCTACAGGAACTCATAATATGGGACAGGTCGAAAAGTACCTCGATCTCTGGGGACTTTTAAGCTTTGAAAACTTCCTCAAAGTCATGATATACCCATGTGCAGAAACCCCAGAGGACAGTCTCCACTAATCAGGGATAAAACATTCAAAATGATTTGGTCTTTCTAGAACAATTCAGATCAAAGTGTCGGCAGTGATTTTCCGAACAACCTAATACTTTAATACCTTTGCACGTTGGCAAGCGACGTGAACCGTGAAAATCCTAAACACACCTTTTTTTTTCATGCTATCCCGTTCGAAGTTTCGTCCAGAAAATTAAGTGTGAATGCTTACCAGGAAAGGTCAACAGGTCAGCCTGGCCATTTCCAATGAGCTGCACACCGTTGTAGGCGTCTTGGGACAGTGGAACTCAAATTATTAGATTGTCGCGATAAGTTCTTATACACGTGTTGATCCTCAATCACTATTTCGTGTTGGCATGGATGTTGGTATTACGTCATCACGTGTGCGTGACGTGTACATTATACTCTTTCATTACACTAGCTATCACTCACCGAGCTTGCATTTGCAGTACACAATGTCGCACAATTACCACTGTGACAGAATGTACCTGCGCCATGCGGTTTTTGTTAAAGCTTCCAAAGAAGCTTCAGCTTTCTCACTCGAAGATCACTGGAAGAGTGAGAAAATGGGTCTCTACGATAACCCTGTGAGGGAGCAGGAGTGGGTCGACAAAGGAGAACAGCCAGAAGCCACCCCAAAGGCCGACCTTCACCCCAAAAGGTTCTCCTGTCCTGTTGGTGGTCCAGAAGAGGCATGGAGTACTGGGAGCTGCTGGAGAAGGGACAGACGATTGACGCTTCCATACGTGACCCAGCTGCGGAAATTGAAAGATCACGTCGACCGTACTCGTGGAAGGAATGCGGAAATCTACTTCCACCATGACAACGCCCGACCTCACACTGCAAAGGCGACCCAGGCCGAGCTGGAGAAGTACGGATGGCTGATGGTCGCCCACCCCCCTACAGCCCTGACCTCGCTCCTTCTGACTACTGGCTGTTCAGCCACCTGCAGCGCTCTCTGGACGGAAAAAAGTTCGAAACAAAGGATCAGGTCAGAAAGGCACTCGACGACTTCTTCAAGTCCCAGCCCGTCGTTCTGGAAGAAGGAATCGACAAGCTGCCTGAGCGCTGGCGTCGAGTAGTGTGATGCATGCATACCTCTAATCTTCAGGTTGGTTCGCTATTGAGATATTTACGAAAAAGTCGTGTATAAAACTTAATGGAGACAACCTAATAACTTCAGAATTTGCGGAACGACGATTATCTGAGAGTTTTATGGAGGGTCTTATCCCCGCGTGGTCGTTTCACATGCTATCGCGAGGAAACGTGGAAGCGTCTTTACATTTATGTATGGAGTCATGCTGAAACGTGGTAGTAGAGCGCAAGGGAGCGGGTTTCTTAGGCGAGACGTCGTAGGATCGGTTCCGGGGCAGATCGCTTTTTTTGCATTTGTCCAAGAACATAGCCGACAAAGCTTCTAACATCTCTGCTCGCCTGCACTACCTTATAAGGGAACCTGCGACCATTTTTTTTAAAGTGTAGACTCATTGTGGCCTGAAAGAGTGCTTCTGCTTGTACCCCTCGTAACACGTGTCACAAGGGTTTTTGCAATGAAATACCATCATATTCATGTTCAGCGGGTTAAATTACCCCTGGGGACAAGTTTCTAGCCGAATCTGATATTTCGACCTCACTTGGAAAATGTGGGCTATTCCATGGGTAATTAGCAGCAGATTGGAGCTCACCTACCATCGATGACTGGTCTCGGAATGGGATTTCCTCCCGATAGCGATGCAGACGGCACAAATAGGTAAGCCACGTACTGTTGTTCGCAAAAAAACATGACTGAAAGAGTTATTTCAGTTCGAAGACCAGTCATCACCAGTATGCTAGTCATATTAGGTTGGTTCGAAAATCCTGTCGACTTTGTTGAATTTCTGAGAGAAAAAGACCAAAAATCATTTTGAATGTTTTATCTCTGATTAGTGGAGACTGTCTCCTGGGGTTTCTGAAAATGGGTATATCATGGCTCCGTGGAAGTTTTCAAAGCTTAAAAGTCCCCCAGAGATCGAGGTACTTCTCGACCTATCCCATATTATGAGTTCCTGTAGGGCAACTCCGCCATAGTCGAGGAAGCTAACACTTACGTTGTCTTGAGGAAGGATATCGCTTGCCATAGCAGAGAGTTCCTTTTGCATCAGCGCTTCCAGGCTGGACTTATTCAACTCGGAAGTAGGCAATGTATAGGTCGGCCACCAGCACAGAATGACGGCCCTTTCTAACTCAGCTTCTTGAGGCGCGCGCGGAAGCGTAACCACCAGTAAGTTGGCAACCTCTCTAGGCTCCACCTAACTGACAACTGCCATGCTTCTCCGCAGTCTCGGTTATCGGAAAATTTTTTATGAAGGATGCCTCATGAGTTGAACCCCTCTGACAAGTCATAACGATGACTCGTGACTAAGTTTTTTCCTTGGTACAACACTTGAGGAAGCATTTTGTGAGATCTTTTTGGTAGAGAGAGGTGTGGGGTCCTTGCGTACATCTTGCACATGTTCCTCGCAGGATCTCTCAACAGAAAAGTAGATTGCACAGCCAAAAGCAGATGTGCATGGGATAAAGATTTCAGTAGGTTATTGGTGGGACTTCAAAGCGGTATCTCTGGATACTAGCATAACGGTAAGGACTACAGTCCTCTCTAACCAACCTCACAACATGGATGACGTCACGCTTGAATTCTTCAAAAATACTCAATTTTTCTCTACCGCTCGGCAATGCGAAGACCGCATGTTAGGATCAGGCCACACCAAAAGATCGTGGATCTTGATCTGAGAATGCGACCATACCCAGCTTATTCATCAAAGTTAGCAGTCTCTAACTACTACCTTTTTTGATCCCCCTACCGCATCCTTAAGAAGGCAAAATTCCGAAATCGACGCATCTACTTCGTCCAAATGAAGGTCCATCTCTTTTCTTATCATATGGTGCCGTACTTATATAAAGAAATGGAAAATTGAGAAGCTGGCAAGAAGCAAGAGGCACTAGTCCTAGTCCTTAGTGGTGATAACCTTGTAGATGGAGATGTCTTTTAGTGACTGAAAATTTAGTCCGAAAAATTGGTCAAAGTGTCGCAGGACTTTTCGAGCAACCCTAATAGTATCGCTGTTAGCTATCAGCCA